AGTAGGTAAAGGCCTCGATTCCACAAAACCCTTCATGCCGACAGCCTGATTTCTTTCTCTAGAGGGTTCATGGGTCCACAAAACAGATTCCTCCAGCTCATATGATTTCACAGTCTGACCTTGGACATTTTCATTAGGATTGTGAAATGGTTTTTGAGCTGGAGTCAGAAATTTCTTCGATCTCTGAGAGTAACCTTCATAAATAAGGAGACAAAAACGTAACAGCTTTTTTGTCATTTGAGTCACTGCAATCTCTAATAAGACATGGAAGTGATTAAATTTGCACTCTAAACTAGCAGTGAAATTTGTTGTACAATTTGACATTTTTTTTTAGCAATATAAACCTCTACCAACAAATGTAGATACAGACATTGTTTACTAATATATGTCATTAAAGTACAATAATAACCAGTTTCTTACCATGTATTTTTTGCATGTGTGTGTGTGTGTGCGCAGGTCTTAAAACTAGGTAAACACAACCTCAGATGAACAACAACACATGACATATTACGCCGTGTCATTATTTATTTAACACAAACTAGGCCAAAATGGAAAAGCCATGGGTGACAAACTAAGTACACATTGCTGCTTCCATGGGAATTAAGAGGGTAAGTAGCAGTCAGGCGCTGCTAATCAAATGCCTTTGATTAATTGATCATCAGCAAGTGTGATCACCTCTATAAAAGCAGAAGTTTTGGCTATTTGCAGGTCTGGAGCATTCAGGTGTGTGTTAACACAATGCCAAGGAGGAAAGACACCAGCAAATGACCCCAGCAAATCAAACCAGTGACCAAACGGTCAACTTCACATCGTTTCTCTTAGTATGTAATAATCAACAAATTATTTACATTGTGTTTGCACTGTCAGTTATGATGAAAGCATTCGTTAGTGTGCAGAAATTGAGTTGCAATGACGAGATCGCTGCATACATGTTGCTCATCACTGCAACCTTTCATGCCACGATCTTAATTTAATTATATCTAACTGCATTGCTATAATTATCACTTTTCAGGAGTAGTTAACATTGAGAGCAGTAATAGTAAAAACGTGCTAAAAGTTTTCGAGAGAGTTCCACATTTCATATGCAAAGCTGTCAGCCAATCACAGCAGTGGCCGTTTACACTGACGTCTCACAGCAGACAAGTGCACCTCAGGAAACATTATAAAACAATGCAGTTCATGACCCCTTTAAGTATTGCCTTTAGAATTCAAATATAAATCGAATTTTGCAAATATTTAAGAAAGAAATTCGAATTTAGCTTTTCATCCATTTTGACAGCCCTATAAACCTCAATGAACTGAAGCAACGTTGTAAAGAAGAGTGGGCCAAAATTCCTCCAGAATGATCCGAGAGACTGATACTGTCATACAGAAAATTATTCCTTCAGCTTATTGCTTCTAAAAGTGGCTCTACAAGCATGAATCACAGGGTCTACTTCGTTTGTCACCCATGGCTTTTCAATTTTGACTTTATTTTTATAAAATAAATATTGACACGGTGTAATATCATTTGTTGTTGTTCATCTGAGGTTGTATTAATCTTATTTTAAGGCCTGCTAACGACCAGATGATTTTTATTTATTATTATTTTTATTATGTTCTGATACGTAAAACCATACAATTCTAAAGCGTGTCCTTTGTTTTTCACATGACAATATACAGTATCTCACAAAAGTCAGTACACCCCTCACATTTCAGCAAACATTTTAGTATATCTTCTCAAGGGACAATACTATGGAAATGAAACTTGGATATATTTTAGAGTAGTCATTGTGCTGCTTGTATAGCAGTATAGATTTACTGTCCTCTGAAAATAACTCAACATACAGCCATTATTGTCAAAATAGCTGGCAACAAAAGTGAGTACACCCTAAGTGAACATGTCAAAACTGTGTCCAAAGTGTCAATATTTTGTGTGAGCACCATTGTTATCTAGCATTGGCTTAATCCTCCTGGGCATGGAATTCACCAGAGCTGCACAGGTTGTTGTTGGGATCCTCTTCCACTCCTCCATAATGACTTCATGGAGCTGCTGGACACATGGCGCTTCTCCACCTTCTGCTTGAGGACGCCCCACAGGTGCTCAATAGGGTTCAGGTCTGGAGACATACTTGGCCACTCCATCACCTTCAGCTTCCTCAGCAAAGCAGTTGTCATCTTGGCGGTTTGTTTGGGGTCGTTATCATGCCGTTCGGCCCAGTTTCTGAAGGGAGGGCATCATGTTCTGCTTCAGAATGTCACAGTACATGTTGAAATACATGTTTCCCTCAATGAAGAGCAGCTCCCCAGTACCAGCAGCACTCATGCAGCCCCAGACCATGATGCTACAACCACCATGCTTGACTGTATGCAAGACGCAATTTTCTGGGGACTCCTCACCAGGGCATTGCCACACATTCTGGACACCATCTGAGTCAAACAAGTTCATCTTAGTCTCATCAGACCACAGGACATGGTTCCAGTAATTCATGCTCTTGGACAGGTTGCTTTCAGCAAACTGTTTGCAGGCTTTCTTGTGAGCCAGCTTCAGAAGAGGCTTCCTTCTGGGATGACGGCCATGCAAACCGACTTTTTGCAGTGTATAGTTTGAGCACTAACAAGCTGACCATCCGCTTCTGCAACCTCTAAAGCAATGCTGGCACGATCATGCGTCTGTTTTTTGAAGCCAGCTTCTGCACCTGACGCGCAGCACGAGGACTCGACTTCTTTGATTGACCCTTGCGAGGTTCAAAGTGGAACCCGTCTTGGAAAACCTCTGTATGACCCTGGCCTGTACTGTAACTCAGTTTCAGGGTGTTACCAATCTTCTTATAGCCTTGGTCATCTTTGTGGAGAGCAACAATTCTAATTCTCAAATCCTTAGAGAGTTATTTGCCATGAGGTGCCATGTTGAACATCCAAAGGTCAGTGTGAGAGAATTGTACTCAAAGCACAAATTTTAACTGCTCTAATACAAAATACAACAATTTGTATGGTCCTGTCAAGCAGACAAAAACATGAACATGATGAATAGGACATGTGGCTCTGCGTGGTTAAACGACGTACAGCTATTATCACTTAGGGTGTACTCACTTTTGTTGCCAGCTATTTTGACAATAATGGCTGTATGTTGAGTTGTTTTCAGTAAATATACAAGCAGCACATTGACTACTCTAAAATATATCCAAGTTTCATTTCTATAGTATTGTCCCTTGAGTAGATATACTAAAATGTTTGCTAAAATGTGAGGAGTGTACTCACTTTTGTGAGATACTGTATATATGTGTGTGTGTGTGTGTGTATGCGTGCGTGCTGGGCAATGATTAATCGCATCCAAAATAAAAGTTTGTGTTTACATAATATATGTGTGTGTACTGTGTATAATTATTTTGTATATATAAATGCCCACATATGCATGTATATATTTAAGACATATTTGCATATACTGTATATATATTTATACATATAAATATTATATATATAAATAACAAATGTTTCTTAAATATATACATGCATGTGTGTGCATTTATATATACAAAATAATCATACACAGTACACACACATATATTATGTAAACACAAACGATTTATGTTGATTAAAAATGCACATGATATGCTTAAACTACCCAAACCTTATTTTAGCTTCAATCCAAACAAGACTCACTAAATGAGGAAAGGTGTGCTGCCTCTCCCTGGATGTCTTGTGTTGCAGGTATTTGTGATAATGAGGGTGGAGCATCAAAGATCCAGGAGCCTTGTCCCTGACATAATGGTTTCCTAAACAGAGCCATATAGACAAATGCTGTCATAAACGTAATAACCAGTTTTTCAACATGTATTAATTCATTCTCAGATATCTGGCGTGTCTCTGATCAGGTATCATGTGTAAAGGCCTACTCACACTTTATGAATTACTGGCCTGTCATAAAACAGGTTTTCCAGCGACGAAACGCCTTCTTCAGACTCTAACATCTTGTAGATGTCATTGAAATCCTAAAAGAACAACTTTAATATAGATAATGGCGACATAAAGCTGCTATAAAGCAATACAATACACTGATGTAAAGCGAGTTATTTACAGTGAACCCTCGAGTTTAGCTGTTAGCCGGCCGGCTAATGTTTCTCCGAGTGAAACCTGCGAAAATAATTAGCTAATCGCTTAATGTATGCGGTGGAATGTCTTGGTACAATTTGTGTGAACATATAGTAAAGTGACTATTAAAAGTCTAAAAACACAACATATGTGTATATTTTCATGGATTCTATCTAATAAAACAGCATTTTGTGAGGAATACTTTGTAAATGGCGTTCTCGTGAAGGCGGCAATCGAACCCGCGAGGCGCGAGCCAGTTTATGGGCGCGAGCTGTGAACTGTCTGCGTCTCGACCAAGGTCATGCAAATCATGATTACGACATTAAACATAGTCGTTTTATTACAGAGACCAGATAATATCAACAGGAATTCTCTCTGTAAGCCTCTACACGCTGTATTTTACGGAATTAAATAAAAGAAAGCTACAATATTTTAATTAAATTAATAAATGTACCGCCTTTTACGTTCTTTAGAATGATACTGATAACGTAAGCTGTCTGACTAGACCTATTTTGAGGAAACACCATTGAAGGAATTTCTTGTGTTTCCCCAGTTCAAACTTCACGTGCATATGCATCCATTATTTAACATAAATCATTTTACTGTGATATACCGTGCTATAAGCGTTATCTTATTCAAAATAACTGGTTGAGAGTGCCATTGTCATTCTTTCTGCTTATCTTCTTCTGTTCACTTTACCGTCAGTCAGTACTTCTACTTGCCACCTATTTGGAATAGTCCACTATTTGTTTGGGGGGGCATTATTTACATGACTCATCCAAATGATTAATTTTCTCACGAATAAACGTATTCAATATGTTTTTCTTGACTAAAATTGAACCACAAATAAGTAGCTGCCTTTAGGAAATTATAATATCAACACTTTTTAAAATACATGTTGTCAAGTTTTTGGAATCCCCCTCAATGAGGTGCGATGCCTTTGTCTGTGGACCATCGAGCAAATATGGCGGCTTCGCAATAGATGGAAAGCTTGAGCGAGCAAAAATGAAATGATTTCAGTTCAGTTTTATTGTCCACAATCGCACCTGCAGAAAGGTAGGCTAAAATTCATTTGCCAACAACATTGAAAGGTGAAACTATCAATGTGTCCCCAACATTCTGCTACGGGCAAGTGTTTTAAAGCTTGATGTTGAACATAATGGGCTTGATTGCTACCTTGCTAGCACACTCTCATAGCACACTCTCATGTAGTAACAGCAATGCCTTAACAGAAAGATGTCAGAAATATATTTCAAGTTATTAATGCACGTAATTCTCGATTTGCACTGCTAGTTTTAATTATTAAAAATGACTGTTTGTGAGTAAATTGGTTGCAGGGTTGAAGGCATTTGCTGTTTTGTGAACCACTAATTATGCAATATACAGAACTTGATCCAGAAAGATATTATGTGCTGTTTAAGAATTGCATCACAACAATTATATATCATGACAACTGTTAACACTTTTAACGTGTTATTTAAACTGTTCATGTGTTATTTATGCATTTAGGCACAGATGGTTTCCTAAAGATTCTTTTCTGAGAGCATGTGATTTTGCATAACGTTGTTACATGAAGAGAAGAGATTGGAGAGATTTCCCGTTATCTGTTGGTGATTATTTGTACATTGTTGTCAGGTGTTTTATATTTTATTTATACAGTGTGCCATAATGCTATGTGCAAAGTGAATTCCTACCTATAACTTGTGTGCAGACTGCACAGTGCAGTGGTGTCCCTGTTCCTGCTCTGTATCAGCCACAATTTATAATGCACACTCTAATGTTATTATAGTTGTATGTGTAATTTCCACTATCAATTTAAGCATGCAAGACCAACCAGTTAGGGGTGCTAACCACAAAAATGCATGTACAATAGGAATGGATTGGCTTACTAAATATAATACATGTTGAAATTTGCTTTGAATTTTAATTATATTGTTAACAAGCTGTCAAGAGTAGCAATAGCTACAGAAATAATGTTTTTTTATTAAAGGGATAGTTCACCCAAAAATGAAAATTTTGTCAGTAATTACTCACCCTCATGTTGTTCCAACCCCGTAAGACCTTCGTTCATCTTCGGAACACGAATTAAGATATTTTTGATGAAATCTGAGAGCTGGATCACTCCTCCATACTAGTCCATAGGCTTCTTCAGGGATTGAACTTGCCGGCCTCGAAAAGTTATTAAAGACATCGTTAAAATAGTCCGAGTGACTACAGTGGCTCAATCTTAAGTTTATCAAGCGACGAGAATACTTTTTGTGCGCAAAAACAAACAAAAATAACGACTTTATTTCAACTATTCATTTCCTTCTCTTTGGGCCTCTACTCAGTTAACGTAGTGTGATTCCGTAGAGCTACGTCACACGTAGGCTCACTATTGGCCGATGCTGGTCATGTACGTGAAGTCAAGTGTGTGATGTACAACAACAGAAGCTTACGCTATTACACTAGTTAACTGACTCGAGGCCCACAGAGAAGGAAATGAATAGTTGAAATAAAGTCGTTATTTTTGTTTGTTTTGCGCACAAAAAGTATTCTCGTCGCTTGATAAACTTAAGATTGAGCCACTGTAGTCACTTGGACTAATTTAACGATGTCTTTAATAACTTTTCGAGGCCGGCAAGTTCAATCCCTGAAGAAGCCTATGGACTAGTATGGAGGAGTGATCCAGCTCTCAGATTTCATCAAAAATATCTTAAATCGTGTTCCGAAGATGAACGAAGGTCTTACGGGGTTGGAACAACATGAGGGTGAGTAATTACTGACAGAATTTTCATTTTTGGGTGAACTAACCCTTTAATAATAGTAGTAGTATTTTTGTAGTAACCTGGTAGTGCACTTATATAATACCACAATATACATTTAAGTTAAATACAGTTGTGTGACTAAGTCCAGTTATGATGTTTATTTATCATATAGCCTATATTCAAGAGGCAATTATGACTATCACCCATGAGCAAAACTATTATAAGTACAAATGTGAATGGCAAAAACATATTTAGCCACATTCAGACTGTCAGTCCTAATCCGATTTTTGTGCATATCCGATTGGAATCTGATTGTATTTAGTAAGTTTGAGCAGCAAAAAAAATCACATGAAATGCGATTTTTACAAATCCGTTTTGAGCTGCATTCATATGTGATTTGAAGTCCGAGGCTATTCAAATCGCATTTCTGGAAATCTGTTTCAGTCTGACCGCTCACCGCTCTAATCGGATTTTGCTTAGTTTGTCACTTTCTCTCACCACGTAAAAGGTAAACGTTCTGTTGTCGTTTGAGTATGCCTACCAACGCAATGTCATTGCCATAGAAACCAAGGAAAGGAAAGGAAAACAAAAGAGCACCACACAGGACACACAAATCAGATCTGAACAGTTGCAATACACAGTGTGAACAGTCAATAATTTAGATAAGATTCCAATCGGATACTCAATTAATTGGATTTGGACTGACATTGTGAACATAGACTTTGTTACCCATGCACTGTTAAAGGGATACTCCACTTTTTTTGGAAATAGGCTCATTTTACAACTCCCCCAGAGTTAAACTGTTGAGTTTTACCGTTTTTGAATCCATTCAGCCGATCTCCGGCTCTGACGGTACCTCTTTTAGCATAGCTTAGCATACATCATTGAAGTGGACAAGACCATTAGCATTTCTCATTAAAAAATGACCAAAGTGTTTCGATATTTTTCCTATTTAAAACTTGACTCTTCTGTAGTTACATCATGCACTAAGACCGACGGAAAATGTAAAGTTGCGATTTTCTAGGCTGATATGGCTAGGAACTATACTCTCATTCCTGCGTATCAAGAAACTTCACTGCCGTACCATGAGTGCAGCAGGCATAATGATATGAGGCAGCGCCTGAAAATAGGCCACCTTCCGTCAACACAACGGAACTATTTTCAGGCGCTGCGTCATATCATTACGCCTGCTGCTCTCATGGTACGGCAGTGAAGTTTCTTGATTATTACGCAGGAATGAGAGTATAGTTCCTAGCCATATCAGCCTAGAAAATCGCAACTTTACATTTTCCGTCGGTCTTAGTGCACGATCTAACTACAGAAGAGTCAAGTTTTAAATAGGAAAAATATCGAAACACTTTGGTCATTTTTTAATGAGAAATGCTAATGGTCTTGTCCACTTCAATGATGTATGCTAAGCTATGCTAAAAGTGGTACCGCCAGAACCGGAGATCGGCTGAATGGATTCAAAAACGGTAAAACTCAACAGTTTAACTCTGGGGGAGTTGTAAATTGAGCCTATTTCCAAAAAAAGTGGAGTATCCCTTTAAGTCCATAAAGTGTAGGAAAGATTTACGTTGAATTCCGTTTGCATTTCCTGTATGTTTAATTATTGTTATAGAAATAAAATGTAGTTATCTGTTTATTTTTAAACCGTTTACGATATCAAATTCAATTTTATCCAAAGTTACTTTGAGAGTAATACAAGCAAGTGTGATTATTTAGTTTAATATTGTTCAGTGAAAATAACTTGGCTACATCTTATTTCTGCCATATACAATAGTGATATTGAAGCTGAAATGTTTGAAGCTGCCATCATTTAAACAAAAATCTAGCCTTACCAACATAGCTATTAGCTAGATAATTTAATGTTACCTTGGTGACTGACAACATCACATAAAACCAGAATTGATCTGCCTATGCAGATATAACCCTATTGTATAAATTGATACATATTGTGGGCTAATAAAATGCAGCAACAATTTTACGATCTCTGCAGTGACAAACAAGGGCTGATGTTGATGTCTGTAGATGTGTTTTAATAGTTTTAAAGGGTTATTCACCCAAAAATGAAAATTCAGAAAGGTAGTAAAGACATCACTAAAAGTAATCCATGTGACTCCAGTGGTTTAACCTCAATTTTATGAAGTTACTTGAGTACTCCACGTTCACGCAACAAGGTCTGCTCTCACGTCAACACAACACACATGGGTCTTGGTGCTCTCATGAGCGCATTGGAGATTAATATTTCTAAATAAAGTGGCAAATATTTTTTTTATTTTTTTTACAAAGCACTCTCGTCGCTTCCTAAAAGTCACTGATTACTTTTATGATGTCTTTACTACCTTTCTGGGGCTTGAAAATGGTAGTTGCATAGCTGTCAATGGAGGGAGAGAAAGCACTCAGATTTCATTAAAAAGATCTTCATTTGTGTTCCGAAGATGAACGAAAGTATTACCCCTTATTTACACTGCACACATCTGTGGCACATTACTGCTCCGACACGGCCACCACTGGTCGTGGCCACTCCTGTCAATGCTTGTGTTTATACCAGCCGCGCCGCAGAATTTTTCAGAAGTGTCCCAGAAGCGGCTTTCCGCGCTGCTTCGCTCAAGATAGGTACCTGGTCTGTTTTTGACGGGTGCTGCATCCAAGCCACACAGGCACTAATGTGAAATTTAGATACAAGATAAATGAGGATGCATTTTAAATGACTAAAAAAAACACAGCTAAAATGTATCATCCATGTCGTTCATAACTAGACTTTTAAGCGTATTAACATTGCCTGTAGGCTACAGCACAAAGTAGGACATAGCAATAAACACAACAATAAACACAATTAAACTGGACAAAACATAACCATTTAGCTAACTAACCCATGGTAGAACCCCAAAACTCAAGACAAAAAACACGAAAAATCAAGAAAAACAAATCTCGTGGTCTCGCGAATCCAGTTGCTGCACTTCTGAAATGCTCCTGGTGTGAGTTGGCAGTGCATGGAGCAGTGAACAAAACCTCGTCGGAGCCGTAATGTGCCGCAGACGTGTGCAGTTTAAAAAAGTTTGGAATGACATGAGGAATTAATGACAGAATTTTCATGTTTGGGTGAACTAACCCTTTAAGTAGAATTTTACAGAAAGATAAAAAAATATTGGTAAAATGCTGTTGCTGGAACACTTGAAATAGTAACCAAGAGAGGATATAAAGTAGTTACTCCTTTTTCAATCCTATAATACATTTTATGAACGGTATGCTATAGATCAAACTGCCTACATTTGCTGTAGGGTCATTTAATTTGTAATGTCTCTAACTTAACATGAATTCGTTTATATATTGATTTTCATGCTCATCTCATGTTTTGTATTTTTTTTCTTTGTCCCCAGAAACGGTCCTTAGGACTCTTAGGAATGTCTGGTTTGAAGGAGAGTGCCAAAGTAGAGGAGAATGACACCTCAATGTCACGAATCTCTCAGGACCTTTTGAACAGCGAGACATTCTCTGCAGAGGGGGCTACACCAGGTCCATCAGTGCATTGTCCTCAAGAGACCATGGCACTACTCGGTGACCAAGGAGACCTCCTGACCAGTGTCGGTTTTATGGACTCCATTTGCTCAGATGGACCAGCCAAGGCTGCTTACGTCAATGGATCCACCTCACCCCATATATCAGATGAAATCCTGTTGGATATTTCAAAAAATGTACCAGTATTCCTTCCCAAATCATTACAAGCTCAGAATTCTGTCACAACCAACGTCCACTTTGAAGGACCTGATCCACTCAGAAAAGAGGGGGAAATAACAATCAGGCAAACGTTGACTGCGGAGGATGTGGAGAATAGGGGTATATGGGGCTTTGATACAGAATCTCCAGAAAGTTCATTAGATAATTATGATGATGGAAATGACCTTAGCTGGAATCCCCAAAGGGAATTTATGAAGTTCCTGTGGGATGATGATAACGGTCTAGAAATGGAGGAAAAACTGTCCCCCGTTCCTTCACCCATCAACCATAAAAGAAGAGTTCCGTCACCACTCGGCAGTAAAAGAAGAAAACGTAAAGAAAAATTGGTCTTAAAAGTCGATCCTTCAGAGGACCTATACTCTGATTTGAATTTTGATCATCCAGGTGAAGGAAGCCGGACAGAGTGCAGTCCTGTTAAGAAGACACGTTCCCCAAGAAAATCATCCAAATTAAAGTCACCCATTGTGAAACATGCCAAGTATTTAAATGGAGCTGCTGAGGCAGTCAAACACCTGTTTCCCAAACCAGCAAAAAAACCTATTAGCAGGGAGGAATCAACTTTTTTTCAGCGTAACAGCGGTTTTAAAGAGAAATCACTAGAAAACAGACAAAGTACAGGTAATAAAGATACAACTAGTTCAAAGCCATTCATATGTAAGGAATGTGGGCAGTGTTACCATGATCATAGTTCGCTGTTAAATCACATAAGTGTTCACCAGGGGAAGCGACAGAAAATTATGGCAGAAATAAATGAGTTGCATCAAATTAAAGATGAAGGTAAAGATGCAAAGTTACAATGCCCCCAATGTACCTTTGGAACGAACTGTCCGAACACCTTTGTGCAACACGCGAAGACCCATGAGAAGGACAAGCGATACTATAGTTGTAACAAGTGTGATTTTGTTGAAATGAATGAAGTTGAACTGAGACGCCATTTGCTTCATAAGCATGGAATCAGTGGTGCTGATCTTACTGTTTGGAAATCAGATGGATTTCAGGAGCGCAAAGTCAATAAATCAACATGTCCAATTTCCTATTCCTGTTCTGTTGAAAGAAAACCTAAAGACATCATTGGAAATCATGTTAAGGCTTCATGTCAACCGCATTTTAATGAAGAACAGGCGTCCTCACATTCCCTTGACAGCAGTGATGAAGAACTATCGCTAACTGAACAGCCAACCTCTGTTTGCAAAGTTCTTACTTCATGTGCAAAACCAACAGCAAAGTCACCAAAATTGTCTGTGAAGCTCCGTGCACCAGACAAAAACGAGAGCTTGTCGTCTGATCAGAAGTGCGGTCTATTACGAAAGAAAAAGGTGTGGACGCACAAAAGTGTCCAAAGCCAATCAAGACTTGACAAATCAATTCACACCCTTTTATCCAGAAAGAAACCTAGTGACCAGTATGCCTCAGAATGCAACACTCATCCTGATGGAAGCAGTACAACAGAGTTTCTTGACAATTCCCTCAACTACTCTGGAACAGGAACTAGTTTGTCCCCCTCTAAGTGTCTGAAAAGATCAGCTCATTCTAAAGAAGGGAGCACTAAAATAACGTTTAAGTCTGATGGAAACGTTACTTCTTCAGATGTTGGAAACTCATATTATACACATTTAAGTTTGGAAAAGCAAACATTCAAGAAGTCACCTTCCAAAAGGAAAATGTCAACTCCATTCCACAATATGCGGGGCCAAGATATTCTTTTAGATTTTCCAAAATGTCGACAAAATTTCAAGAAACCTGAAACATCCAAGAGGAGTAAAGAATTTATCAACAACGTTGACTTTATGTGTGATTCTAATGATGATCTTAGACCTGAAGAATGTGAAATCAACAAGAAGGCTAATGCACGTTTTGTAAGAAAACAGACTTCACCTGCAAAGGCAAGTCTTGTTGCCTCAACTAGTCACTTTAAGAGAAATCACAGTTCCCTGAGGATGTTTTCTGTCAAAGATGAATACAAGGAAGAAGAGATCTCAGAGTCGATTGCTACTGTAAAGCGTGAAGCGAGCTCAGATGTTGAGACCGATCTGAAGGCTTGTCCATACTGTCCTGCTGTATTTGAGTCAGGAATTAGCCTCTCTAATCATATAAGAGGACATTTGCACAGAGTGGGCCTAAAAACACGCCATTCTGTATCTGCAGCTAAGGTGACTTCTCTTGACAAAGTACCTCCAGTTCGACGACGAAAATTGCCACAAATCAAAACAGGTGATGCTTCTCTTGTACTTGATAAATAAAATCAATTAAAGGGATACTTCAGGATTTAGCATTAAGCTTTGTATTAGTAGAAAACCTGTAGTATTTTCAAATTACCGTGCTTTCCACCCTCATATCCCCCTGAGACGAGAGATTTATGTATTTTTTGTCTGGAAAAAATCCTCCGATGACGCAAAAATCGTCATTTTGCGTCATCGGAGGATTTTTTGGCCAGAGGCTAAAGACTACAGCCAGTAGTAGGGGCTGTTTCGCATGTTCTCAACCCGCCCATAGAGGGTGGGATCTCACTCACAGAATGTACACATATTGTCAGACATCTTTTTTGGAAGCTAAGCTAGCAGGCTGTTGTTCTGTGGAGAAAGCTGAGTAACTTAGTAGGAGAAAGCTGAGTAGTAGGGGTTACCATTCATCCTCTTTTTCCTGGACATGTCCGGCCGTCGAGATCGTACAAAATGTCCGGGATTCAGCTTTTGCTTTCTGCAGTCGCCATTCATTGTTTACATGCACACCTTTTGTTTCAATCTATAACTGAATTCACTCCGATTGGTGTATCTGATTGTAGTGTTTACATGAACGCTAAACAAGTGATCGGCGTTTTTGATGTGCGTTTTAACATTGCTAAGAAAATTCCCACTCCTCCGTGAGAGATACAAGACCGGTGTGTCTCACAGGTGTCGGCCGCTCATCAGTAATCACGCCACCGGCCTCGCGCCGTTCTCCCGCGGCCCTCAGTCTCGTCCTGCTCGCCTCAGTAAACATAATGAATGGCGACTGTAGAACGCAAAAGCCAAATCCCGGACATTTTGGGCGATCTCGAAACACATTTTCGGGCAGACACATCACGGAGACTCACTAGTAGCCTAGACTTGTTGTTTAACACTGCGCTCCGTTACCGGTAGGCGTGGCCTCCTAGGGCAGCGAAGCAAGTGCATTCTGGGAGTTGTTGTCTTTCATCCACATAAGCCAAAAATACATTTTCTGGCTTTTCTCAGTCTAGAAAGCTCCAAATTCAAAAATAATTTCACATTTCTTCTACATAAATGACCCATTTTAAATACACATTCATCTTTCCAGAGGTGAAGTATCCCTTTAAGGTAGTAGTAGTTATGCAGCAAAATCTTTAATTATGAGACTTTCCTTTTTTCAGATTTAAGAATAACATTTTGATTGTAGGCTAGAAACTTTATTAGCTGATTTTACCAGTTAGAGAACATAACATGCTAATAATTATCGGCTTATCAGTATCTGCCAGAATTGTTCTTTTGGAGCATCTCTAGAATATTTTGTGTACTGCTAGGCATATAGCTGAACTTACTGACAAGCGATACTCATTTAAAGTTTAGTCGTTTAATGTAGACCATTACAAATTTTTTTGTTTGTTTTTTTGTGTGGAAAATGTCATTTAGCAGGTACAACCCAATGCATTTTTTATAGGTGTCGTCCAGATTTACTGATTGACCTGTATTTTTTCCAATATTAACAAAACTTGGTGTAGACGTCAGAACAGTGTATGCCAATTTTTCTGAAAGGACTATCATCATGATATTTGGTATATAAAAAGTATGTTTACAAGACGCAGTGGACCAAATTTTCTGATAATTGGCCAGAAAGTGGTACTACAATAAGGGGATTCTCTGCAATACTTTTTCGTACTCCTCCTAGGTTGTCATGCCAAATTGCATAAAATTGGTTGTGTATTTGGTCAATTATAATTGTATTAAAAATGTAGACAAATGTATGTTTATTCTGGGTGCAATGTCCAAATTTCATAGTGCTTATGTATGTATAGCTTTATCATCAAGAAAATAAAAATGTGTGCACCATCCACAACACATTTAGAATAATAATACCACCCTTTAGTATGGTGTGAAGCGCTCAAATCAGACATACTCCTCATTAGGATGTTATAACAATTCAAATGAATGAATATAATCATTTCTAATTGAAAAGCCACTAGTATATAAGCTGTAAAATGGAAAGATTGGAGATTCTCTACGAATGGAAATGTAGAAGAGTTGGCGAATACAGTTTTTCTTTGAGGTGTTCCTGTGATAGCACCTTTTATTGTGCGGTTGCTGATGTTTCACTTTTGTTTTTCGGTGCCTTCATGCTGGCCACGTGTACTTGGTTTGTTTGCAGTCAAGAATTGTCGTGGTTTAAAATTCCCACACAACCGGTGTGGTGCAAGTTAACTGACATGCAGGATGGTTAATCTAGATGTTTTAGTTTGGACAAATTTAATTGGCTTTAATGTAATAAATATTTGTTGTAAATTAGGCTGATTACATGTGGTTTCCCTTTTGCTTTCTGATCCCAGCAGAGGACACATCCCAGACTGATCATTCTGCAGAGCTGCCAACCGACTGCCAACAGACAGAGCTCATCTGTCCTCTCTGTAGGGAGTGGTTTGACAACAGGACTGGGCTGTCCAATCATGTACGAGGCCACCTGAAGCGACTGGGCAAACCTACGTCCACCGCATCCAAATCTCCAGTCATCATATTGAAAGAATTGATGCGCGACAAGAAACAGTTTCAGATGAAGCTACAGGTTCTTGAGAAGAAGTGCCGCGCCACCAAGTCTTTCCATCCTATTAGTTTGAATAACGGACTAACCTTCGCCTCTACTGTCAAACGGCATAAAGATAAGGAGGAAAAGAAAAGGATAGAGATTAATAAAGGCTCACCACCAAGTGATCTGATTGGAATTTTGAAGAAAAGAAGAGCCCATGAAGAGACCAAAGCAAAGCACTCATCCCACATGGCGAGAAAGGCTCTCCTTTTATCTTCAGGCAAAGACTGTGGCCTTGAGATACAACCTTTCAAAGCAGTGCCAAATTCACTAGAAGGTAACTAGGTTTCATTTGTTCCACTGATCAACTGTAATAAAGCTGAACCACTCCTTGAAGGGACAGTTCTTGCAAAAAAATGGAAATTCTGTGACACTTTGCTCAGTCTTATGTTTGACCAAACCCATATGCGAACAAGCATACTGGTTTGGAACAACATGAGGGGGAATAAGTAATGTCAAAATGATAATTTTGAGCGGAACTGTGTAAACATGAAGAGATTATACCCTCATTGTTTAATCAATAATGAATGTTTCAAATGTAGCTATAATTATTTCAAATGTAAATGTATAACTTTTATTTTCACTATAGCCATAAAATGTAGTCTGCTTTATATACTTATTATACACTAGTGTAGTATTTTATATAAATGACAAATGTTAGGCTTCTCCAAAATATAGACTGATCGCTACTGCTAAATGATCCTTTGATGAGAGGCCTGAATTTGAGTGGTTTAAACGTGAAGAGTACATTGACAGTATATTACAGTATCTATAATGACTATAAGTGTTTCATTTTTATGTGTTGTGTTTTTGTTACAGAGAAAAGTGAACTCAATAGAAAAGTTTGCGTGCACTGTAATGCCACCTTCCACAGTGGTGTTAGTCTCTCCAATCATTTGAGGGCATATGCACATAGAAAGAAAAAAGCTCTTCTGGATGGAACTAGTACGCACCTTTCTTTCCTCCTATGTAAATGCACCTGTGTACTTGCTTTTGGCTTCTTGTTCTACTTTCCTAGGGCTTAGATCTTGCAGAATGCATGTCACATGCTCACTCCCTTTACTAAACTTTGCTTTGACTCTTCCAATTTCTCATAAAACAGTAACATGGAAGTAACTTAAAGGGTTAGTTCACCCAAAAATTCAAATTCTGTCATTAATTTCTCACCCTCATGTCGTTCCAAACCCGTAAGACCTCCGTTCATCTTCAGAACACAAAAGAAGATATTTTTGATTAAATCTGAGAGCTTTCTGTCCCTCCATTGACAGCAACGTCATTGCAACTTTCAAGGCCCAGAAAGGTAGTAAAAACATTGTTAAAATAGTCCATGTAACTACAGGGGTTCAACCTTAATATTATGAAGCAACGAGAATACGTTTTGTGCGCAAAAACCCCCCAAAATAATGACGTTGCTGTCAATGGAGGGACGGAAAGCTCTCAAATTTCATCAAAAATATATTCATTTGTGTTCCGAAGATGAACGTTTTTACGGGGTTAGAACAACATGAGGGTGAGTAATTAATGACAGAATTTAAATCTTCGGGTAAACTAACCTTTTAAGTAATGTACACATTTTGAATAGAATTTCTTTTATAATCACAAGGATAATTCAGGTGCTTTTAGTAGCAGAGATTTATACGGACACCTGATGGTTAATCAGATTGTAGTTGCTGCACGATGCCATTGTAAAAGTATTGTTATCATTTGCTTTTTTTTTTATTCACAATCAAATGCCCAATAATAGAGGGTTACTGAGATAAAGTGAGTGGTATTCGGCTGGTCATGTGAGCCAGCCACCACAAGGGTAAGACTTTATTTGTAATATATGAAATAGGTGCTTTAACATATTTTGCTAAACATTAAAAACCTGAGAAAAATCCTTTAATGTTGTTATAGGTTAAAAGCGTATGGTGTGCTTTTTAAATATGTTTATGTAATTTCTAATAAATGCATTGTTCATTATTGCAGCTTATGACTGTAAACAGAGAAAGCAAAGATCAAGGTCTGGGTCAAAGAAGAAAATGTACCCGCTGCTGCACAGTCCAGAGGAAATCTACAGACTTACTTGCAGGTAACCTCTGTTACAAATATATAAATGCATATTTAATATAATATTACATGAATATATATTTAACATGAATATTATGAAATATATATTGTAATGCATGTTGTATATTGTAAAATTCTTTTTGTGTAGTTTTGTTTCTTGTTTTTCCATTCTTTTCACATTTGTCAATGCATCATTGTAACCTAATGTGTAATTGTTTCCACATGCAGGTTTTGTGACCTAGTCTTCCAGGGCCCTTTGTCAGTGCAGGAGGACTGGATAAAGCATTTACAGAGGCACATTATGAATACCGCTGTACCGCACACAGGGGCTGGGATGGTGGAAGTCACCTCCTTCCCCAAGGACTCTTGCTCCAACACCATACCACAGGCACAATCTTCAGTGATGCAAACATCCTCATGAGCCCAGGAACACACTCACACATTGTCCTTGGAATATCATTTGTGTAAATTGTTTGGTTTAAATTTTATATGGCCATCAGTAAGGACTTCTGGTTTTAATCTGAATGAGGATCCATTCTTATCACAGACCGCCTTTTAGATATTGTTACATTTTGCTGGTGTTGTACATGGTCAAAGAACGTACGAATGGTGGGTGAATATGTTGAGATTTCAGTGGAACCCACCCCCAAAAGACAACCTTTACCTCAGATGCATCTCACTTTGAGTTTAATCTGTCATCATCACAGATCTATGCTCTACAAAAACTGAAATGATTCTGTATGTGGATTTTATAACAAGCCATTTTAATTTGAGAACAAACACAATTTTGTCTTTTTGTTGTCCCATCCATGAGCCTTGGAAAGTGCACGTATGATGCATATGTGTAAAAATGTAAGTCTATATATTTACTTGATTCAGAAGTTTAACTCATGCCAACACATCAGTCATTGTGTAAAACATCATGTTCTATTGATATTTAGCGGTTCAGACAGTATGCATGTCATAACTCCCTGTTTACACCGTTTCCGCTTCGGTAACATTTTGGTTTTCACTTATTACCCTGTTTTAATTTTATCTTAAATCTGTAAGTTTGCCACGTGTGCAAAAAAAAAAAAACATTACCTGTTACTTGTGTAGGCCATTTTTTACAGTTCAGATATTTTTGTGTATAAACCTTTTTAGGTAATTTATGTGAGGAAAAAAAAAATCACTATAAACATTTTTGCTGTTCAGAATAAAATGTTTTGTCGTCTTAAGCTTGTTGGTATGTTAAGCTATGAATGTAACTTACTTTGTAATTGTTGATATTTACAGATTACACCACATAATTAGCATATTGCCAACAATGCTAGAAGATTCTAGTCTAATAACCTAGATAATCTTCACTGAAGACATTACTAGTGAGACTGGAATACATGCAGAAAGCAAAATCATCCAGTCATGTGAAAAACTTGTGGTTTTAACCAGATCCTGAGAAGTTTAGTTAATGGTTCTATCAATTCTCTAAGTAGTTTTTTCCCCATATACTCCTTTTTTCTTCAAATGAAACATGAGCAGAAGGGTCCTAATTATCACATTGAAGTAACTGAAGGGCTCTGTGTCTTGGGCAAATTTTTCCCCAGCTGTAACTACAAACGGTTATAAAGGTGTAGAAATGTCTAGGGGAAACAACAGCAAAACCAACTAGAAAGGGGTGGGCAAATGTTCTATAAACCAACATGTTTGAAATAAGGCAGACAAGTTGAAACATGTAGGCAAAAGTGTAGGATTTAAATACTTGAATTTACTCGAGTAGAGTTTGCCTGTCGAGCCAAAATCAATTAGACTACAAAAAGCAGAAGTCAGATTCTCGTATCAAATTCATTTAATTTGTGATATTTGCAGGTATTGTTCTTTGTAAATATCAGTTTTTAGAGCTCAAACTACAGGTTGAAACCTTTGTACCATTGTACTTTTAAAATACTGTAACACATATCCAAACCTAGTTTATACGCAACATTTAATAATAATAACAATCAGAAAAAAAGAAGACATTAATAATTACATTGCAAAGGGCAGTATTACCAGATGTTCTTTGCCAAGCATGTGGCATATTCTAAGATACAATCATTACGACAATGCATAAGTAAACCTCGAGCAGCTTTACAAGGTCACTGTGGTTCTAATCATGAGGTGCAGCATGGACATCCCCCCCCCATCTGGCATTTCTTAGTCCTTGATAGGCCTCTTATCATCAAAATACAGCAAAAAGAAAAAAATGTATATGTTTCACTGTTAACAAAGGAAATTCAAAATACATTCTCAGACTCGAAAGCGTGTTGCAATTTTGCAGTTATTGCTAAAGAGAACATGTGAACTTTCATAATGTCTTTCATCATGTCAGATCATGTCTTTTAGAGTTTATAAATTGTTGATAAGCACTGCTCCTAAACTAAATAGTAAGAAATACATGATAAATATACAAACATTTTGTTAAAAAATAAGTTTGTTTCCATAATTAAACTGGTGCTGATAGACACTTTTGAAAATTTAGGATAACTACTGACCTTTATACATACCGGTAGTTCACCCAGAAATGGTTATTCTGCCATCATTTACTCAACCTTGTGTTGTTCAAACTGTGTGACTTTCTTTCTTTTGCGGAACATAGAAGAATATATTTCTAAAAATGTCTCAGTGTTTTTTCAGTCCATACAATGAAAGTCTGTGGGGTAGAATGTTGTTTTGGGCCCCACCGATGGACAAAACAACAGTTGAAAAACATTCTTTGAAATTTCATCTTTTGTGTTCCACATTAATAAGAAAGTCATACAGGGTTGGAACAACATGAGGGTGAATAAATGATGACAGAATTTTCATTTTTGTGTGCACTGTCCTTTTAAAATACACACCAGTCTGTATATTAAATATAGTATATAAATAACAATATACAAGTAAATGTGTAACAGAACATAATTTAAACTAAACATACCTGCTTATAGGCAAACAGAAGCAAACACAAACCTGTTATTTGCAAATTTCCTGTTATATTTTGCAACAAGCGTTTTTGCTTCCTGTCTTTGAGGCCCATTTCTATACCATATGTTGATGACATATTAGCAGGTCCTTCAAATTTCTGCAGATTTCCAAAGAATTGAAACGTCCATCCTTTATAAGCGTGTACACATTCTGCCCCTTGCATGTTCATTTATTAAATATTTTTGGCTAGATTGATTATATTTTCATCAACCAATAAGAGAGAATTATCATTAATAATGCTTATATCCATTCTGAAGAGTTCCATTAGTCACTACTGATACTTTCCTTGACCTCAAGAGGCAGTGTGTCAAAAAGATGATCCTCCACGAAGAGGAGGTTTTTCCGAAGAAGGTGACACTGGCCAAGCTGAAATGGAAGGCAATCTAAGCAATTCCCTTTGAGCTCAAGTTGGGACAGCTGAACTAACTGCCCAATGGACTCTGGGATGGAGGTGATGCTGTTATGACCCACAAATAAAACCTTCAGTTTGGAACATTTAAACAGTTGATTAGGCAGAACTTCTACCTTGTTCCCTGTGATAGCAAAATGTTGAAGGTTGTGAAGGTGTCCAACCTCCACTGGTATACTTGAGATGGAGTTGTTGCTGAGGTCAATGTGCCTCAGTTTGGGCAGATGAAACAAAGCTGGAGGAAGGGTCTCCAGTTTATTGTGACAGATAATGAGGGACTCCAGACTCTTTACAAGGCCTATCGATGGTGGAATGGCATTGATCTTGTTGTACCACAGCTTGAGGCACACCAATCTTCTTAGGTGCTGAAAGCTGATGATTTCCTCAATGGTCCGGATATTGTTATTCTTCAAATCCAGTTCTTGCAAGTTAGCCAAGCTAAAAATGGCATGGGGGATCCTCTCCAAATCACAGTTCTGGAGATCCAAATCCACTAGGCTGGTCATCTTCTTGAGACTGTTCAGTACCAGTAATTTAGTCCCATCATTGTGAATCACCAGTTTGACGAGATGTGGCGACAGTTCTGTTAGATTTGTGGGTATTTTGTTAAGATTGCTTTTGAGATACAATGTCCGCAAGTGTCTCAGATCTCTCAGTGACTCCAAACCAATCATCTTGTTGTGTTCAGAGTTCAGGTTCCCAATCAGGTTCAGTTCCTTGAGGCTCCTCAAAAGATAAATCCACGTTGGGATTTCTGCAACATCAGTAAACTTAATGTGAAGGCATCGCAGATGGTCGCGGAGAAAAGTGAAAGCGGATTGTTCGACTTTAGCAGGGCAGTTATATAGATGTAGTTCCCGTAGGTTGGTCATCTGAGAAACTTTGGCTGAAATTCTGACCTCAGGAATAAGCTCTAACTTGATGATTTCCAGATCGGTGAGGTCAAATACCGCATTAGGGAGTCCTGACAGCATAAAGAGGTGAAGTTCTTGTTCATCTTGAGCATTGGATGTCACATGCTGACGTAGTTTTTCAAACGTCCACTCGTGGTTAAGGCTAATTTCTCGTAGTTTGTTCTCACTGACTTCGGAGAGAAATACACCAAATCGTTTGGAGTACAGCTGATCGTATTGGTCGACCATGTGTAGGAGAAACGCAAAGTCATTCTTGACATCAGGAATATCACTAAAGCTACTTTCCTCTCTGACTTTTTCAAAAGAGTACTCCTTAAGAGGTCTCCTGAAGAGCCAATAGAGTGTATACAAACACACCAGTCCATAGAGACATATCATAGCCATGAAGGTGAAGAGAAGTTTCCTTAACATGAATGCCATGTTGTGCGTGCATATGAATTGATCATACCCGGTCAAACTTTCGCTTTCAGAATCGCATATATGGCAGAAACTGATCTTTGAGGCAAACGTTGACGTATAGCTCAAAATCAAAATGATCTTCAGTGCTTTTATTGCTGTCTGAGCCACATAGAGTTTGTAGATGAAGTCACTGTCTTCGATGTGAGCTCGAAATTTCCGCACTTTCTCAAAAAGAGCCTTGGCTTGTTCTCCATCTTTTTTGTCTAAGGTGGTCAGGCTGGGAGCTTCTGCAATGAGCTTTTCGGTAGGAAACTGTACCGTTGGAGTTTCCATTAAAGGAGTAGACTGACTGCTGTCCTCTGAGGATACATGTTTTTTGTAAACCGAACCGCCTGTGAACCTTTGCTTGTTTTCCTCAGAATCTTCACAAGCGGTTTCGGACAAAGCTTTCGTCGTCCATGGCGATTCAAAGCACCGTCCCAAAATGGAAACAAAGTGTTCAATCTTTGAGCTGGTCTTTGGGTACTTGAACCAAAAATTGCTGCTTACCATCAGCATTATGGTGTGTATGAGGGCAAGGTAAGGAAAGTATTTGTTATACCATGGTAGGGCCTTATGGTAGCACATTTGGTTGACAAAAATATACTGCTGATAGTCCAGGTTTGTTTTACGTCCTCTGGGTTCAGGTTGAGACTTCATACCCTCTCTTTTTAAGGGGGTAGATTGAGTGTTAAGAAGTTCATGTGCAATGCTGTCAGGAAGGTCTTTAGTGGTTGTGGTGGGTGTAGTCGCCAGAACTGATGTGGAACATTCTGGTAGATTTTGTGCTGCCTCAGGGTTAGTGCTTTTCTCAAGAATGGGAAGACATGCCACTTGGTCTTTGGATAACTGCATAG